GATTTTGTGAAATCTTTACTGGGGGTTAACTTCGAATTTTATCACATTCCCATATAGGGAAATTACTGAATAAAAAAATAATGTCCAACAGTCGTCCTAATATGACATAATACTAAACTGAACATATACCATGTAGCCTGCAATATTTACCTTGCTTGGTATGTCAGTCCATCAAATCCATGTATGGCACAGCGAAGGATGGAGGTGTAGTCAATGATAAGAGAAAGGTAATAATTGTTAGCGACTCCTGGGTTGCCATAATTTATTTGATCTAAAATTGAGAAACAAGGAACATGTGAATTAATACATTATTGTCCATAGTTGTGAGGCTATCAGCATTGTGATATCCCAGATTCGTGCGTACCGCTACCGTGGGACAACATTTCTTAGCGAACAAATAGTACTTCAGTGAATTGCTAGAACATACCTGAAGAACCGCCATAAACTTCAATTCTCAAAGATATGTTGCCATACCAATTCGGCTCTATATGCAATAGAATCTACAATTGAGATTTTAAGAACATCACTTTCACACAATTGAAACTATATGTAATTGTGTATGAATCACAAGGCCCTATACTGTATAGTAACAGCGTGTATTTTGTGACTTCTATAACAAAAAGCATATACAGAACAAAATGCAAGCTGTTTTCTTTCATATTCACATAATACCCCCAACCCCTGTATATTGGTAAGTGGCAATTACATAATAGGAAAGGGAGAAAAATAAATCTATTTTTAATAACACCAGTGTAAAATGAATGATATATGGAACTGTACAGCAAAATATTGTGTAGGCATAATTCTTGTCATGCCTTCCATCACCAGATATCATGAAATTATCTTGGTTTTTTAATGTTTAAATTAATCCGTTTAATTTAAAAAGCACAAAAATACCACCAAAATATAGCTGAAGAAAAATACTTTAACCCAATCGCTTCTGTTTTAATCCAGAAATTAATCAATATTCCTGTTAACCTGACACTGCAGTGCAGCTCTAAAAATCATATCAAATTACACGGGATTACAAACAGAAATATAACTCGCCTTTGGAATTTCGTTATTTTCTTCGTTATTTTTATCCTGTCATCTTTTAACCGTTACATGTAAACTGTAAAGGCTTTAGTTATCTTCTCTGATAGTTTTTAAGTCAGGATAGGCAGAAAAACTGGAAAAATAAAGCTTTTTTTATTTGTTATTGTGTATAGCGAGGCGTTGCTCAGCTGCATGCACATGTGGTTGTCACGTGAGGTTGGAGGTGTCAAAAATGTTAGGTTGCCTACCCCGTGGGGGTAAAATAAGCTCGGTAATCGATGTCCGGGGTAAAATTGTCCCTAGAAGTCATAATTGTCAAATTTTCGCCAATATGGTGATATGGAATTTTGTATGCACATTTTCCAGTTTCCATTTGTAAACACGTTTGTTGGAAATATCACTACAAATCGCCAAAGCGACTGTATTTCAAGTAAAATAGATGAAAGTATTGATCCCAATGTATACTACAAATATTTGGAGGTTTTTAGGCGAGATTTTTGGAAGGCTTTGCGTATTTTCGCTTCTCTAAAATTCAATTTAAAAAGTACAAGTTCGGCAATAAATATCTTGGCTTATAGGAAAGCTTTTGAAATGAACTGAATTTATACAAATAGGTAAATGTTTTTTCTTTGAGATAACACAATTTCTAGTTGATTTGATAAAATACTTCCAGATAAAATCAAATTATCTGTGTGCGCCATTTACGAGCAGACAGCAATGAGTTTAGTGATCTCATATTTATTAAAATGGGTGAAGTATTCGCACAGTAATCACAAGTTTAAATCAGCTTACCACTTTGAAATATCCTCTCATCGGACGTCTAACTGAGAGGATCCCTTAAACATCGAGAATACTTCATTAACAAGTGCCGCATCCTGTCCTGTTTGAGAAGTTACGAGAACTTCATCTTGGGTATTGGTTACTCCTTACTCTGTTGGAAGTTCCATTCTGTTGTATGAGGACAACACTTGTAGTTGGTGTGGTGAAAGGATGCAGATTGTCTGTTGGATGTTGTTCTTTTGTATTAGAGACGGACCACATTAGATATCAGCGCAAAATTGACACATTCATGGGACTCGAACCCAATCTCCTAAAAAGGAGTACCTGAAATGTGTTCTTTGTGTGGCCAGGAAAAAGCGAGAGCTACAGGGCAACTCGCAAACCGACTGGCAGACAATACGAACGTACAACACAAAACACACAACCGACGACACAACATCCAACAACCCACAACCCACTAACTCTGTAGCTGAAACGACAAAAAATATGGTGAGTTGTTCCTAAAAAAGGAATCATTCACGATTAGCATGAAGGCAATTGTGGCTAGGGTTTTAACTGAGGGTATGGATATGGGGTGGCTTCTTAGGGTTGGATACTGAAACTAAACTACGATCGTCTTTGTCTGAAAAACACAAAAAAAAATTATTAGTAGCTCCCTAGAAAACGAAGAGCAAAACACAGTTAGACAAGCAGTGAGCCGTGTTTCCAGATACGGGGACAGAGATTCTTAGCTAACAGAGTGGCCACGGGGATCTACTTCTATTAAAAAAATAATTACACATACCTTGATCCTACCTAAAGAAAGAACTAACTTACCTGAAGAAAACGGTCGCAGACGGCTCTGTTTTATAGCGTGTAGGCTCTTGCATAATTCAGCAAATTAAGACAACTTGATTGGTTATTTCTGTGCACAGGTCAATTTGTCATTGGTCAATTTTTGTACTCCACGATTGGTTCAATAAAAACCAATCAGATTGGTTAATCTATATTCAAATTTTGATCCCGTTTCTTTGATATTTGCAAGGTGATTGCACAACAAATGTTCGATTTCACACGTTTTGGAGCATATTCCAAGCCAATATATCACAGTATGTGTGTATTTGTTCGATTATTTCTCTCATGAAGTTCACAAAAAATTACAGTTCAATTAAATAGCTTTTTTCCCCACAAGCTTTAGAACCCCATCGAGCAGGAAAGTCGGAATTTAAAAGGCAAGTAAATCTTTCAAACTGTTGTAGCATTTAAATTATGTGGTACATTTAACTACTGAACCTTTCAGAATATTGTCGAATTGGGCATGGCATGGAATAATAGTGAATATAAAAAACTGACAAAATCTCAAATGCAGTAAATTTCAAGGCTAAATATTGCAAATTCCACTGGAAATATGGCGTTTTACCGCCATGCATACATAGCTATTCACAGGTATGATATTCACGCGTTTTATATATTCAATATTACACATCAAAGCGGCCTAATGCTTAGGATATTGCCCAAATTGCAAACAAAAACCGGTTGCAGTGGTTTAGTTCAAATATTCAGTACTATTTTGATATATTTAGCGTCAAAATCGATTTACTATTTATATAATACTATTTCTTCGATTTCTTTGCACATCCTAGCCCAAGAATTACTGAGAATTACAACAGATTGATAACATGTAAAATTGGGACATTTTGAAGACAACAGAGTACCAAAAAAGCGAAAAGATATGGAATTTCTAAAATACATCTTGCTATGGGTGAGTAATTTGAGATAACAAAGCAACCTATTATTTTGATTAATGTTTTTACTTATAATACAAATGCAGGTTATAGCTATATGCTGGTTGGAATATACTATTCAAATAATCGTTTCAACCGCTATAATTTAGTGGTATTCCGGGGTCTTTAGCCCAAATATTTCTGAGATATTTAATGTCTTGCTTCTGTGCAACATTATTGTCAGGAGTAATAGCCTATTTTGCTGTACAGTTCCATTTATCATTCATTTTACACTGGTGTTATATAAAATATAATTTTTTTATTCTCCCTTTCCTATTATGTAATTGCAGAACGAATATTCAATATATTAGTGTACCACATAAAAACTCATTATGACAATCGCTATCGGACGTCTATTGCATCGGAGATACGACTTGTGGTAAGCCAAATTCCATGTTTTTTCTCGCGATTTTTTTATGATGTCTTACATTGTTGTTTTTTAAAGATTCTTCAATGTTTCCTCAGTCTGCGAGCTGAGAACATCTAGGCCTTGTGCAAGACAAAATTGGAAAAGTTAAATTCACTTCGTATGTTATTTGTTGTGAAAGGAAAAGGTTGGTTAATGATGATAGTGCAACGCATGTCAGGTATTCTGCTTCCAAAATTCCTTCTCTTCTTAGTGTAATACATCCTCATTTTTGTTTTAATTCTGCAGAAGATAAGACAACCGGGATTGTCTCACTTCCTTACAACGAGGCAATGAATGTTATTCTTGTGTGCTTACAACAGGTAAACTTTTCCATCATAATATATCATCTGGCATAAAGTTTCGATTAAAGTTCAACTTTTTTTATTTTCTAGAAATTGGAATTGGAGGTGTTGTATGTGGTTCTGAGAAACTTTCCAGAGGCACTGCAAGATAAAAACTTGATACATTCTTGAAAGCACTACTTGCATTAAATATGTACAGTGTTATCTAAAATGGTAAGGGAAGTTAAGTTGTGCACTTTTCACACCAAAATCATGAACTAAAAATTTTACTTTGCATTCAGGTTTGAAATTATGATTTTCTTCCTGGATTATTTCGTGTTCCTCATGACATGCGCCGACCTCATTTGTACGCTAGAATTTTTTCAGTACGGTTCTTCTCATTCAGTTTTTTGCATCTATCATAATATCTTACCATAACTATACTAAAACCATACCATACCATAACATATCATATAATCATATCATATAATCATATCATATCATAACTAACCATAACCAAATCATACCATACGATAACCATATAATTCCAAAATTATATCACACCATACCATACCAAGACAAATCATACCATACGATAACCATATCATACCATAATTATATCACACCATACCATACCATACCATAACCAATTTATACCATAATTATATCATACCATACTAATGATTTAATTGGATATTTTAATGTAACATGTGAAGGTATTAACATAGCTGTGTACGTACCACATTTTTATTGGTCAAGATGAACAGATAAGAACCTGCTTGACTTTATTTTCAGCGGTTGTCTGTTCTCGCTTAAACGTTGTTGTATATTTCGTCTAGTTTTGTCTGATGCGCACTTTGGAGATTGGTTTGGTTGCTCATTCCACGACCTTATGCGTTTCCTGTCTCACCATATGTATGTTAGAAATGCTTTGCCAGTTATGACAAGGTATGGCTACTTAAGATAGTCTGGAATTTGAGACTTTTTTATGTCCATTAGCACTTTGTAAAGAATGAAGTTGGTTGAAGTAATTGCAATGTTTTAGAAGTTTATTGCTTTGGAGATATTTGAAATCGTGCCTTGATAATGCACTCAGTGAATTTACAGAAATGTTTTTCAACAAAATCCAGCCTAAATGTAACGTCTCTTGTTATGCGAGATACTCCTTCACAAAAACAAGATTTTTTGAGCAATAACTTCTAGATTTTCGTTCCTTAGACTGCTCCCAACATATCTGGAAAAGTTTACCAAACTTTCGCCAACGCCTCAAGTTTTCATACCACTGTTAGAATTTCTCTCTGGTATGTTTCTTGAAGTTACGTAAATTAGGAAATCTTTTGCGAAATATCAATGTACCCCCTAAAGAGAGCTAGCTTGTATAAACACCCAATCGTATTCGGCGAAAAGTTGTTGATGAGTTGAAAATGTTTCACCTTAGATACTCTCAATACACGGTAACTCTTGCTGATAATGTCATTTCATCCTGGTTTGTCAATTTTCCACTGTTGTTAAGAAAGCAATTCGTGCCATTTATTAAAAAAGTAAGTCCACATCTCATTCTATTGCCACGGAGATTGCTTGCTAAATTTTCAATAGATATTAAGAAGTGGTCTTTAAACTTTATACAGCTTAGTCAGTGTTGTTACATAAACTTGTCCATTTCATGTTACATAATTTTGCTAATATGGAAGCTCGTTTTCAATCATTTGAAAACTCTGTTAAAATATATGTCCTTGTATTCCTTTAGAGTCTTAACAACACAGATATATGTTCAGATGCTGCAAACCCATACCCCAAAGTCACTCATCCCTCCACCAAATTCCAGTCACCCCCAAACTCCCTTGAGAAATCAAAGGAAGACTACAGCAACACACTTAGTTCTGAGATGATGGAAATCGTGGTTGATATGATGGTCAAATATACATTTTCTTCTTATTTGACCCAACCAAAAACGTCTGTATATTGGCTTCGTATTTTTCTGCACTGTGTTTCAAGGAAGATGACTATTTTGTTGTTTTTGTAGAACTGCAGTTGTAGAACCACTCCTGCACAATGGAGCGTCAAGAAGTTGGTTGCTTGGCAATGTGTTGATCACGGTTACAGTCAACAAGCGGGCAACTTCGAACATGTCATGCGCATATTGTTCGGCAGGAAAAGTGTTTGTGGGAGATGATTCACTGCAGAAGGGCACGGAGCCTGAGGTTTTAAAAGTTGAGCTTAAGAGAAACAAAAACGAGGCCTCAATTAGTCAGGTAAGGAAAATGCTTTCAGTATCATTGTTTAAATTCGCATACGCTGTCTGCCCAGCGTATTTATTCTTAAACAACAAAATATATTTGGAAGAGCAACCAAGTTTAAATATTCTTCTAGTGAAAGCTCTTAGGAACGTATTTGACATTTCCAGGCTTCTTCAACTGATAGCAAAGCTCGTGCAGATGATTCTAGCCAGGTGTCAAACACAAAATTCGATACGAAAGCAGCTGACTTTCTTACCCGCGATTTAAAGGCCACTGGTACCGTAGGCTCAGTACAGAAATCTTGTGACTCAAGCAATTGGGTGCAGTTGCGTTGGTCAAGGATGGGTTCAGATTCTAGTTCGAAGACGAATTAGAGATACTTCGTGGATTTTGAGACTACAAAGTCGGCCGAAACTCGATGAAACACAAACTTTACTACCAGCGGTGGGAAAGACAGGGATTTATGAAAGTTTAATTCCATAACAATCCTTTTGTAAGCCCATTTATTTTCTCAAACCTTCCCAACCTTCAATTGTGCCACGCGTCACTAGAGTTGTCGATGGGGAAAACTTTGTTGAAGTTTGCAAGTCAAAAGGCAAGTCGATTCTATCGCTACAAAAATTTTTAGAGTTTGCGTTTTTATTCTAAAATCCATTTTACTTCACATATTTCTTTAGTTGTTTAGTTATATTGGCAAGCAATTGCTTTTGACTTTCAGGTACGGTTCTTCTCATTCAGTTTTTTGCATCTATCATAATATCTTACCATAACTATACTAAAACCATACAATACCATAACATATCATATAATCATATCATATAATCATATCATATCATAACTAACCATAACCAAATCATACCATACGATAACCATATAATTCCAAAATTATATCACACCATACCATACCAAGACAAATCATACCATACGATAACCATATCATACCATAATTATATCACACCATACCATACCATAACCAATTTATACCATAATTATATCATACCATACTAATGATTTAATTAGATATTTTAATGTAACATGTGAAGGTATTAACATAGCTGTGTACGTACCACATTTTTATTGGTCAAGATGAACAGATAAGAACCTGCTTGACTTTATTTTCAGCGGTTGTCTGTTCTCGCTTAAACGTTGTTGTATATTTCGTTTAGTTTTGTCTGATGCGTACTTTGGAGGTTGGTTTGGTTGCTCATTCCACGACCTTATGCGTATCCTGTCTCACCATATGTATGTTAGAAATGCTTTGCCAGTTATGACAAGGTATGGCTACTTAAGATAGTCTGGAATTTGAGACTTTTTTATGTCCATTAGCACTTTGTAAAGAATGAAGTTGGTTGAAGTAATTGCAATGTTTTAGAAGTTTATTGCTTTGGAGATATTTGAAATCGTGCCTTGATAATGCACTCAGTGAATTTACAGAAATGTTTTTCAACAAAATCCAGCCTAAATGTAACGTCTCTTGTTATGCGAGATACTCCTTCACAAATACAATATTTTTTGAGCAATAACTTCTAGATTTTCGTTCCTTAGACTGCTCCCAACATATCTGGAAAAGTTTACCAAACTTTCGCCAACGCCTCAAGTTGTCATACCACTGTTAGAATTTCTCTCTGGTATGTTTCTTGAAGTTACGTAAATTAGGAAATCTTTTGCGAAATATCAATGTACCCCCTAAAGAGAGCTAGCTTGTATAAACACCCAATCGTATTCGGCGAAAAGTTGTTGATGAGTTGAAAATGTTTCACCTTAGATACTCTCAATACACGGTAACTCTTGCTGATAATGTCATTTCATCCTGGTTTGTCAATTTTCCACTGTTGTTAAGAAAGCAATTCGTGCCATTTATTAAAAAAGTAAGTCCACATCTCATTCTATTGCCACGGAGATTGCTTGCTAAATTTTCAATAGATATTAAGAAGTGGTCTTTAAACTTTATACAGCTTAGTCAGTGTTGTTACATAAACTTGTCCATTTCATGTTACATAATTTTGCTAATAATGAAGCTCGTTTTCAATCATTTGAAAACTCTGTTAAAATATATGTCCTTGTATTCCTTTAGAGTCTTAACAACACAGATATATGTTCAGATGCTGCAAACCCATACCCTAAAGTCACTCATCCCTCCACCAAATTCCAGTCACCCCCAAACTCCCTTGAGAAATCAAAGGAAGACTACAGCAACACACTTAGTTCAGAGATGATGGAAATCGTGGTTGATATGATGGTCAAATATACATTTTCTTCTTATTTGACCCAACCAAAAACGTCTGTATATTGGCTTCGTATTTTTCTGCACTGTGTTTCAAGGAAGATGACTATTTTGTTGTTGTTGTAGAACTGCAGTTGTAGAACCACTCCTGCACAATGGAGCGTCAAGAAGTTGGTTGCTTGGCAATGTGTTGATCACGGTTACAGTCAACAAGCGGGCAACTTCGAACATGTCATGCGCATATTGTTCGGCAGGAAAAGTGTTTGTGGGAGATGATTCACTGCAGAAGGGCACGGAGCCTGAGGTTTTAAAAGTTGAGCTTAAGAGAAACAAAAACGAGGCCTCAATTAGTCAGGTAAGGAAAATGCTTTCAGTATCATTGTTTAAATTCGCATACGCTGTCTGCCCAGCGTATTTATTCTTAAACAACAAAATATATTTGGAAGAGCAACAAAGTTTAAATATTCTTCTAGTGAAAGCTCTTAGGAACGTATTTGACATTTCCAGGCTTCTTCAACTGATAGCAAAGCTCGTGCAGATGATTCTAGCCAGGTGTCAAACACAAAATTCGATACGAAAGCAGCTGACTTTCTTACCCGCGATTTAAAGGCCACTGGTACCGTAGGCTCAGTACAGAAATCTTGTGACTCAAGCAATGGGTGCAGTTGCGTTGGTCAAGGATGGGTTCAGATTCTAGTTCGAAGACGAATTAGAGATACTTCGTGGATTTTGAGACTACAAAGTCGGCCGAAACTCGATGAAACACAAACTTTACTACCAGCGGTGGGAAAGACAGGGATTTATGAAAGTTTAATTCCATAACAATCCTTTTGTAAGCCCATTTATTTTCTCAAACCTTCCCAACCTTCAATTGTGCCACGCGTCACTAGAGTTGTCGATGGGGAAAACTTTGTTGAAGTTTGCAAGTCAAAAGGCAAGTCGATTCTATCGCTACAAAAATTTTTAGAGTTTGCGTTTTTATTCTAAAATCCATTTTACTTCACATATTTCTTTAGTTGTTTAGTTATATTGGCAAGCAATTGCTTTTGACTTTCAGGTACGGTTCTTCTCATTCAGTTTTTTGCATCTATCATAATATCTTACCATAACTACTAAAACCATACAATACCATAACATATCATATAATCATATCATATAATCATATCATATCATAACTAACCATAACCAAATCATACCATACGATAACCATATAATTCCAAAATTATATCACACCATACCATACCAAGACAAATCATACCATACGATAACCATATCATACCATAATTATATCACACCATACCATACCATAACCAATTTATACCATAATTATATCATACCATACTAATGATTTAATTGGATATTTTAATGTAACATGTGAAGGTATTAACATAGCTGTGTACGTACCACATTTTTATTGGTCAAGATGAACAGATAAGAACCTGCTTGACTTTATTTTCAGCGGTTGTCTGTTCTCGCTTAAACGTTGTTGTATATTTCGTTTAGTTTTGTCTGATGCGTACTTTGGAGGTTGGTTTGGTTGCTCATTCCACGACCTTATGCGTATCCTGTCTCACCATATGTATGTTAGAAATGCTTTGCCAGTTATGACAAGGTATGGCTACTTAAGATAGTCTGGAATTTGAGACTTTTTTATGTCCATTAGCACTTTGTAAAGAATGAAGTTGGTTGAAGTAATTGCAATGTTTTAGAAGTTTATTGCTTTGGAGATATTTGAAATCGTGCCTTGATAATGCACTCAGTGAATTTACAGAAATGTTTTTCAACAAAATCCAGCCTAAATGTAACGTCTCTTGTTATGCGAGATACTCCTTCACAAATACAAGATTTTTTGAGCAATAACTTCTAGATTTTCGTTCCTTAGACTGCTCCCAACATATCTGGAAAAGTTTACCAAACTTTCGCCAACGCCTCAAGTTGTCATACCACTGTTAGAATTTCTCTCTGGTATGTTTCTTGAAGTTACGTAAATTAGGAAATCTTTTGCGAAATATCAATGTACCCCCTAAAGAGAGCTAGCTTGTATAAACACCCAATCGTATTCGGCGAAAAGTTGTTGATGAGTTGAAAATGTTTCACCTTAGATACTCTCAATACACGGTAACTCTTGCTGATAATGTCATTTCATCCTGGTTTGTCAATTTTCCACTGTTGTTAAGAAAGCAATTCGTGCCATTTATTAAAAAAGTAAGTCCACATCTCATTCTATTGCCACGGAGATTGCTTGCTAAATTTTCAATAGATATTAAGAAGTGGTCTTTAAACTTTATACAGCTTAGTCAGTGTTGTTACATAAACTTGTCCATTTCATGTTACATAATTTTGCTAATAATGAAGCTCGTTTTCAATCATTTGAAAACTCTGTTAAAATATATGTCCTTGTATTCCTTTAGAGTCTTAACAACACAGATATATGTTCAGATGCTGCAAACCCATACCCTAAAGTCACTCATCCCTCCACCAAATTCCAGTCACCCCCAAACTCCCTTGAGAAATCAAAGGAAGACTACAGCAACACACTTAGTTCAGAGATGATGGAAATCGTGGTTGATATGATGGTCAAATATACATTTTCTTCTTATTTGACCCAACCAAAAACGTCTGTATATTGGCTTCGTATTTTTCTGCACTGTGTTTCAAGGAAGATGACTATTTTGTTGTTGTTGTAGAACTGCAGTTGTAGAACCACTCCTGCACAATGGAGCGTCAAGAAGTTGGTTGCTTGGCAATGTGTTGATCACGGTTACAGTCAACAAGCGGGCAACTTCGAACATGTCATGCGCATATTGTTCGGCAGGAAAAGTGTTTGTGGGAGATGATTCACTGCAGAAGGGCACGGAGCCTGAGGTTTTAAAAGTTGAGCTTAAGAGAAACAAAAACGAGGCCTCAATTAGTCAGGTAAGGAAAATGCTTTCAGTATCATTGTTTAAATTCGCATACGCTGTCTGCCCAGCGTATTTATTCTTAAACAACAAAATATATTTGGAAGAGCAACCAAGTTTAAATATTCTTCTAGTGAAAGCTCTTAGGAACGTATTTGACATTTCCAGGCTTCTTCAACTGATAGCAAAGCTCGTGCAGATGATTCTAGCCAGGTGTCAAACACAAAATTCGATACGAAAGCAGCTGACTTTCTTACCCGCGATTTAAAGGCCACTGGTACCGTAGGCTCAGTACAGAAATCTTGTGACTTAAGCAATGGGTGCAGTTGCGTTGGTCAAGGATGGGTTCAGATTCTAGTTCGAAGACGAATTAGAGATACTTCGTGGATTTTGAGACTACAAAGTCGGCCGAAACTCGATGAAACACAAACTTTACTACCAGCGGTGGGAAAGACAGGATTTATGAAAGTTTAATTCCATAACAATCCTTTTGTAAGCCCATTTATTTTCTCAAACCTTCCCAACCTTCAATTGTGCCACGCGTCACTAGAGTTGTCGATGGGGAAAACTTTGTTGAAGTTTGCAAGTCAAAAGGCAAGTCGATTCTATCGCTACAAAAATTTTTAGAGTTTGCATTTTTATTCTAAAATCCATTTTACTTCACATATTTCTTTAGTTGTTCAGTTATATTGGCAAGCAATTGCTTTTGACTTTCAGGTGCGATTTATTACTATATCGAGAATGGCTTGATTGGCGAAGGTGGATTTGGTGGAGTATTCAAGGGTGATGCCATAAAAAGAACTAGAAAAACATCGATAATTCTCACACAATGTCTCTGCTTCGAAAAACAAGCATTTTTCTTGGCATTATTGGCCATATTGCCATGCTTCTGAGATGAATTAAGATTCCCAAATCATACTAGGTTGCCAGCCCTTACGTTGATTTTTCAGAAAAACCATCCTGTTTTTCATTTACCAAGAGATCGATCTTTCAATTTTTACATTTGAGACAAAGGGATTCAGGTAAACATTGACATTTCGTTGCTGTTAAGATTAAAAGTGCTTAAATTTCTGGCACAATGGCACTCAATAAGTACTTTATTAATGCCAGGCGAAGAAAGTCAGCATAATGTTCCTTTATCCATGAGTTATTATTGTCTTGATGATGACATAAATAATGCTGTCATTGCTGTGGCTATATTGCTTGCCTTGTTAATTCATTATATTTGTTCTTTTAGATTAGAACAGAATTTTGCAACATTGCATGGGGAAAGACATGAGGAGATTCAATAAATAAATGAGAGACCATGGTAACTGAGCAAGTCTGATAATTAGGAAGTTTTAGATCAAAGAGGACATTATTATAATAATGATTAGCCTAAATCTAGTTTTTCCATTAATACATACCATATTTTATGTGGTATTATCTGTAAAAGATACATGTATTAATATCATGCTAAATATATGTTCTTATGCCAGCCCATTGTTCTTTATGGATGACTCTGTCATGGTATCAAAAGTCAAAAACTGTTCATCACCTGGACTATTGGCAGCTGGATGACTTAAAGAGATAAGTAAAATGTAATGTGGTTATGTTACTCGGAACTCTCATGATTAAAAACATATATATTATGTTACACTAGTAAAATATTAAAAACAAACTTTTCCAAGCTTTCGGACGAACGCGTCCATCATCAGGGAATAACTGTTGTAAACAAATTCTAGCCTTAAATACGGTCTACAAATGTGCATACATTAATAATTATACAATAATAATTAAGCCTAAGGTTAAAACCTATTATAAGAGGAAGGGTACGAAAAGCCCAATTATATAACACAGTACTCTCTGTTTAAAGAATGACAATAATTCATAGTTCTTACTTCTTTAAAATCGGCTTATAAACGTCAGGAAGTATCCTACCATTATCTCTGTTCGAAATACCGCTACCCGATTGCTCAATCATACATGCTTCTTTCCATTTACGTTGCGCCCATCTGCTCTCTTTACATAATAATTTTGAATCGTTCCATGCTATACCATGTTCACAATCATACCCATGCTTAGCCAAAGCTGACTTTTCAATCTTCCCCAAACGGACTGCTGCCTTGTGTTCCTTCTCTCGCGTTCCAAAAGCTCGTCCTGTTTCACCAATGTATTCTACATCACAGCCTGCACAGGGGATGCTATACACCACCCCTGTCTGTTCTTGGATTGATAATACATCCTTTGGTTTTACTAACTGTTTTTTCAACGTGCATACCGGCCTCATTGCAACTTTAAATCCGTTTTTAATTAATGTCCGTTTTAATCGTTCCGTTGTACCTTGAATATATGGAAGGACTACTAAACCATTGCCCTTCACAACCGATGAATGCTCTGTATTACAAAAAGATTTGAAATTTGAAATGGCACCAAAACGTGTTCCGATTATGGATATTATTGCCGAGGTAGAAAGTTCAATTTACAGTCTAGATGAGATACAAAAAACTGAAATTAGAACAGAAACGGCTAGTATATTGAAACAGGCGAAGTTACCAAAGGACAACATGACTAAAAGAGAAAGGCAAATTATAAGGGATTTAAAGGAGGATGAAACAATAGTGATCTTGAAAGCAGACAAAGGCAATACGACAGTGGTGATGGATAGAATTCAGTATGAAGAGAAAATAAACAATATGTTGAATGACAATAAGACATACATGTTATTGGATAAAGATCCAGCAAAAGAATGCGAAAAGCGATTGAAATTAATTTTGGTTACAAAGAAAGAAAAGCTGGGAAAAAAGTTATACCGAAAGTTAAGTACGACGGATGGTATAACACCGCGCTTATATGGGTTACCAAAGATCCATAAAGATGGCATACCATTACGACCTATTGTTAGTTTTATTGGTTCTACAACATACGAGTTGTCAAAGTTTCTACGTGGTATTTTATCTCCACTTGTTGGTAACTCTCAGCACCATATAAAGAATTCATATGAGTAAGTTCGGAAAGTAAGTGAGTTCCGATTGGAAGATGATGAGGAAATGGTGTCGTTTTATGTTGTGGCATTATTTACTTCAATCCCGGTGGAATTAGCAGTTCAGATTGCGGCTTCAAGACTGAATAAGGATTTAACATTAGTAAAAAGGACGTCATTATTAGAACAGGATGTTGTTGAACTCTTGGAGTTTTGTCTAAAATCGACTGAATTCCAATTCAGAGGAAGTTATTATAAGCAAATACATGTACAACAATGGGGTCACCGGTGTCGGTGGTTGTGGCTAATTTAGTGATGGAAGAATTGGAAATCAAAGCGTTGAATACTTTTGTTGATAGTCCGAGGTTTTATTACAGATTTGTGGATGACACGATCACAGCACTGAAGAAATCGCAGATTTCTAACTTCCATGACCATTTGAACACTCAAAGTGATCACATTAAGTTTACAGTGGAGAGATATAATAAGAAGGAAGGCCTTGCGTTTCTTGATACGCTAAATAAAGTTAGTGATGATGGTATGATCCACACAAAGGTATACCGAAAGCCGACGCATTCGGATCGATATTTACCGTTCGATTCCCATCATCCAAGGCAGCATAAGAATGCGGTTGCGAGGACACTTTTTATGAGAGCAGTTGGCGTATGTAATGATGCGAAGGAGCAAAAGCAAGAAGAGAAACGAGTATATAAAGTTTTGAGAGGCAACGGTTACCCTAAAGAAATGTTAACGAGAATTTGTAGGGAAATTGGAAGTGGTAATTTATCAGTGGGCGATGCTGAACAACCAACAGACCGGGATAAGGGCAATGGTTTAGTAGTCCTTCCATATATTCAAGGTACAACGGAACGATTAAAACGGACATTAATTAAAAACGGATTTAAAGTTGCAATGAGGCCGGTATGCACGTTGAAAAAACAGTTAGTAAAACCAAAGGATGTATTATCAATCCAAGAACAGACAGGGGAGGTGTATAGCATCCCCTGTGCGGGCTGTGATGTAGAATACATTGGTGAAACAGGACGAGCTTTTGGAACGCGAGAGAAGGAACACAAGGCAGCAGTCCGTTTGGGGAAGATTGAAAAGTCAGCTTTAGCTAAGCATGGGTATGATTGTGAACATGATATAGCATGAACGATTCAAAATTATTATGTAAAGAGAGCAGATGGGCGCAACGTAAATGGAAAGAAGCATGTATGATTGAGCAATCGGGTAACGGTATTTCGAACAGAGATAATGGTAGGATACTTCCTGACGTTTATAAGCCGATTTTAAAGAAATAAGAACTATGAATTATTGTCATTCTTTAAACAGAGAGTACTGTGTTATATAATTGGGCTTTTGGTACGCTTCCTCTTATAATAGGTTTTAACCTTAGGCTTAATTATTATTGTATAATTATTAATGTATGCACATTTGTAGACCGTATTTAAGGCTAGAATTTGTTTTACGCCAGTTATTCCCTGATGATGGACGCGTTCGTCCGAAAGCTTGGAAAAGTTTGTTTTTAATATTTTACCTGTGTAACATAATATATATGTTTTTAATTAAAGAGATAAGCTCTGTTGAACATATTGATTGCATAAAAACGGTAGTAATATAATTTTATATATTGTAACATTATTATTGCTTTAACATGTTTGCTTGTAACTCATGCATGCTATTAAAAACTGTTATCCATACCTATAAATTTTGCTATATGGTGCAACTTATTTGTATACTTGCTAAAATTTGTTGTAATCACCTATATAGGTATTTACATGCAAATGTTTCTTTTGACTCCTTAGTGTGACGGCATGCTTAACTTCATAGTACATTTTTTAACTGTTTGTAAATAATACCTATAGATAATAAAATGTAGTGAAATCATGTAAGCCAACATTTTTTGTCGTGTTTGTGATGTCTGTTGAAAAAATTGTTTATCAAGATAGATAGATTATAAATAGGCCATATTTCATGTAGGAATAGCCTGTATTGCTATAATACTGTAATTTTGCCATTGGTTTGGACAAATTATTATTAATTGCATGACTTACCTGATTTCCCAGCAATTTGCTCTCTCCACTCTGTTTATAAGAACAAATGTAGTTTCTTGTTACATTTCTTGGCATAGTCCAAAATATTTTTCTCAATCAATGGATTGAAATTTGCCAACCATATCATGGATTAATTTGTGGTTTACTCTTTAAAATTCTGCTTTTACCTGAAAAAGAATTAATAGAGTTTGCCAGATACATTGTGAAAGAAAATTATTCTACTGGTAATTTAGAACCCTTACTCTGTCAATTAACTAAAATATCAATGAGAATTTTATACAAAATATGGCAGGTAACTAAAAAGTAGCGAAGTAGCACACATGGGTATTATGTCTAACAAAGAAATTTGGCAGTCAATTATCTGTTTGGATAGTTTGTCAACAAGAATTATGGTACCTTATATCAATATGAAAGCTGTAAACTAAAAGCAAACTTACCTCTGTAACAAGCTGAAGTGCAGGATTTTTTCTTAAATTGTTTCTACCCCTGGCATTCTTATGCTCCATGAACCCTGTATCAGAATAAATTGAATTATTGATATGTTTAACAATTCAAATCCATTTCTTAAAGGTATCATAGAGGTGGTAAACATAAATAATCATAAAGATTATGTACATCAACAAGGTTATCCCTTACTCTTCCACCACAATTGAGTCAGCAAGGAAGCGATATTTCTAAATTATCATAGGTGAAATATTTTGTTTTTCTTCCATGGTTTGATAAATTAATTGTATACACCTGATTGTTGACAGTAAATATCCCTCATTCCCTTGTGAACCAATCTTACGTAAACGCATCCACTGACGGTAATATGATAAGAGTCAGAGTGGATGCATAATCGACATATTTGGGGATATAGTGTCACGACAGAGTGGATAAGTCAGAGTGGATGCATAATCGACATATTCGGGGATATAGTGTCACGACAAGCAACCGTACAACGAGAGAAAGGCGAAATTTTAATTAAAATTTCAAACATCGTCTCGCTTTGCCTTTTTTGGATTTATTAACAATCGTTTTTAGTTTTTTACGAATTGTAAGACAGTGTAAACCGAAAAGAGAATAAATAATAAACTTTATTAGAGATTTTTGGAAAATTCCGTATTTATTGCAATTTTCCGTATTTAGTGTTCAATTACTATGCTCGTGAAATTTTGACTGATGCATTCGCATCAGTCGCATCAGACATCAGTCTGGATCCACCCCTACGTAGAACCATAGAACCGTAGAACAATGGAACCGTAGAATCCTGGAACCGTAGAACCCTGGAACCATAGAACCATGGAACCGTAGAAGCGTAGAACCGTAGAACCGTAGAACCATAGAACCGTAGAACCATGAAACCATAAAACCGTAGAACAATTTAATGGTAGCATTATATTATTAGTGCCTTATAATTATGCATTACATATTTAATTAATTATTACAATATATTTCGTGACTTGTAACCCGGCCTTATAACCCTCATTAGTGATCTGCCACATAATATTTCATCAGTCCTTTCATCACGCGCCCGACGTCAAAATTCACGAATCGGGTATGCCCCAAAGATCATGGCGGAATTGCAATCGAATGTTTTCGATTTTGTGTGACTAATAATGTTCATATTTCAGTTGTGAGTGATCGAAACTTTAAAATGGCAAATTTTTTGACGACAATATAGCTTGTCATTTTACGATCAAACACTCGTGGTGGGAAAGTGATTTCCGTGTAACCATCGTGTACTTTCTTCGTAGTTTGTTTACCAGTCCGGGCTTGTGATGGGCATGGTTGGTTAACTGGACTTCGTTTCACATCGTTTCTAGGTATAAGAGAGTGTTCTCCATCGCATCGAAAGCGGTAAAAACTGACAATTTTTCTACCTTTGAAGTCACCAATCAAGTAAGTGTAATAGTTCTGGATACTTTTGCACTTTCACACTCAAGTACTGTTCTGGTATATTAAATAATACCAGGTAATTGTAATATTTTTGTTATAACAAATTACAAGTTTTCTAACCGAGTATGTGACTTTAATACAGGAGTGTCAATGTTTGTCAAAATCACTTTGATGTAAATTTTGATTAAGATGTCTTGTGCAACCTGGGCTTATCTGACATGATATGTATCCTGACTTCCAGTCTTCCATCATATTGATACAATATAATTGCTGCATGATCCTGGGGTTTCAAATTTGAATTTGCTTGCAAATGCCTAACATATATAATAGCTCTCTGTTATGATCAACAACTATTAGAAAGTTTTGGAAAAATGTCAAGAATTCAGACCAACTCCGAAATAGAGGTTCATTTGCTGATTTTCCAAACAAATTATGTTGAAATCAATCCTATGTCCTTTTAGGATTTTATCATCATTTCCATATTTTCATGCAAATTATTGTATGTATGTACCACTATCATTCGTCTTTGTATGTATTTCGGCAACAGGAATATAACTGCAGCCATAAAGTTCTCAATCTAATTTTATCATTGCACATGTGAATGGCTGGTAACCACAAGGAGAAAGTTATTAACTGACAAATTTTCAAAAATATTTTAGTGGGCTTACAAAGATTTTCTAAACATCATGCCAAGCTTGAAGGCACCAACAGAAGTTATCATTGGTGTGAGAGTGTCAGTTGTCAATCTTGAGATAAAATAAAACTGACAACTGCTGGTAATTTGTAAAAAATCTGTCTTTGTTTAATTTATAGACAAAGCAGGCAAAAGACTAAGAATATTACATTTTCTACCGAGCGCAGAGAAGACCTTATCACAGAGGCTTTAGTAAGGAAGTGTAATTTTTATTATTTCGTACCTTTGTTTTACTGTATTGTACAATCTGTCAATTAACCACTGATTATTATATTTTAAAAGTTCTACAAAGACTTTGCTGGTCATAAAAGTGGAAGTGAATTCGTATGTTCGGGTTAATTATACCTCATTCCTTAAAATGAAACTATTCGCAATAAATTCAAATTCGTAATTCATCATGGTATCAATGCCCCCCCCCCCCCTCTGTCTTCAAAAAATTAGGTCCATATTCCTTTTCTAATTTAATAAGTGGGTTCTTATTAATAAAGTGATAAGCTAACTGAAGCTAACATTTCCAAACTATTTCAACATCAACATATGCCATATTTTTGTGTAGAGGATTAGTGGTTATAAATTACATTGAAATGAACGAAAGGTTGCACTCACGTTACAGTTACTTTTATTGTTTTAAAGTTTCTTGATAACTTACCTGTGTGTTTATATACATATATATATTCCTTGTTATTAGCCATTTTTGAAGCAATTTTGTTCAATTTAGGTGTCACCAGGCTCACTGGATCAGATTGATTAAAGAGATAATAAAAATTGGCTTCTTACAACTATAAAGATATAGAACTGATTGCACTGGTATGATACTTGATATTGCCAGACATTTGAATATTTGTGATTTGCAATAATTTAACTCAGGCTTTCATTCCATTTCTATCTTAGGTCTCAGATTATCCTAGGGGATTTGTTGTTGTCTGTGGTGGTTATTAGCAGAATGGTATGTACCAGATGCTGCTAGTACCAGCCATATAATAACAAAAGGATAAGATACCGGTTATTTCTGCAAATTGAAGTTTTACATTTTGTGCCCAATTTTGTTTTTGTCTTCCAGCATCTTTTCACATCAAACAGGAGAGAGGAATTGCTGAAAAAGATGATGGAATCTTCTTTCAATAACGTTGACGTTACGATAAAATATGTCAACATTTTAATAACCTATTTAACCTATTTCTATAGTGCGTGTGAGAAGACATATAGTATAAAATTTATTACAGCAATTAAATTCTATACACATACTAAGCAACATATCTGAGATGCAAATTTAATTCAACTAATTATAACGAGAGATATCTGGTATTTGTTATGCAAATACTTATATAGATATAATAACCATAACCATAACCGTTTTTTCTTTATGAACTTCGTGAAAAAGATCAAGTAAATTAAATAATCATAGCCCTTCAGCACATGATCTTGTACTCTAGTGGTGAGAACAAGGATTTCCCAATGGTAAATCGATGCTTCGAATCTTACCATAACCGTTTTTTCATTATGAACCTCTTGGAAAAGATAAAGTAAATCAAATATTCATAGCCCTTCAGCACATGATCTTGTAGTCTATTGGAAAAGACAATGGTCTCCCAAGTGGTAACTCGATGGTTCGAATCTTACCATAACCGTTTTTTCATTATTAACTTCGTGAAAAAGATAAAGTAGATTAAATAATCATAGCCCTTCTGCACATGATCTTATAGTCTAGTGATGAACACATTGGTCTCCCAAGTGGTATGTCGATGGTTCAAATCTTACCATTATCGTTTTTTCATTATGAACTTTGTGAAAAAGATAAAGTAAATTAAATAATCGTAGCCGCTAAGCATATGATCTCGTAGTATAGTGGAAAAGACAATGGTCTCCCAAGTGGTAAATCCGTAATTCGAATCTTACCATAACCGTTTTTTCATTATGAACTTCGTGAAAAGGTTACAATAAATAAAAAAATCATAGCCGTTCAGCACATAATCTTGTAGTCCAGTGGAGGAGACAAGGGCTCCCTAGTGGTAAATCGATGGTTCAAATCTTACCATACCCGTTTTTTCATTATGAAATTCGTGGAAAAGATAAAGTAAATTAAAATAATAATAGCCCTTCAGCACATGATATTGTAGTCTTTTGGAGAACACAATGGTCTCCCAAGTGGTAAGTCAATGGTTCGAAATCTTACCATAACCGTTTTTTTATTATGAACTTCGTGAAAAAGATAAAGTAAATTAAATAATCCTAGCCGTTCAGCACATGATCTTGTAGTCTATTGGAGAACACAATGGTCTCCCAAGTGGTAAATCGATGATTCGAATCTTACCATAACTGTTTTTCATTATGTCCTTCGTAAAAACGTTATAGTAAATCAAATAATCTTAGCCGTATATCACATGATCTCGTAGTCTAGTGGTGAAGACAGTGGTCAGCGAAATTGTAAATTGATGGTCCAAATCTTATCATAACCGTTTTTTCATTATGAACTTCGTGAAAAAGATATAGTAAATTAAATAATCATAGTCGTTCAGCACATGATCTCGTAGTGTAGTGATGAAGACAAGAGTCTCCCTAGTGGTAAATCGATGGTTCGAATTTTACCATAACCCTTTTTCATTAAGTCCTTTTTCAAAAACGTTAAAGTAAATTAAATCATCATAGCCCTTCAGCACATGGTCTTGTAGTCTATTGGAGAACACAATGGTCTTCCAAGAGGTAAGTCGATGGTTCGAATCTTACCATAACCGTTTTTTCATTATGAACATTTTGGAAAGGTTAAAGTAAATCAAATATTCATGGCCGCTCAGCACATGATCTCATAGTCTAGTGAGGAAGACAATGGTCTCCAATGTGGTAAATCGATGGTTCGAGTCTTACTTTAACCGTTTTTTCATCAAGAACTTCGTGAAAAGGTTAAAGTAAATCAAATATATACAGCCGTTCAGCACATGATCTCGTATCTAGTGGTGAAGACTATGGTCTCCCAAGTGGTAAATCGATGATTCGAATCTTACCATAACCGTTTTTCATTATGTCTTTAGTAAAAACGTTAAAGTAAATCAAATAATCTTAGCCGTTCAGCACATGATCTTGCAGTCTAGTGGTCAAGGCAATGGTCTCCTAAGTGGTAAGTCGATGCTTCGAATCTTACCATAACTCTTTTTCATTAAGTCCTTTGTCAAAAACGTTAAAATAAATCAAATAATCTTACCCGTTCAGCACATGATCTCGTAGTCTAGTGGTGAACACAGTGGTCTCCCAAATGGTAAATCAATGGTTCAAATCTTACCATATCCGTTTTTTCATTATGAACTTTGTGAAAAAGATGAAGTAAATTAAATAATAATAACCGTTCAGCACATGATCTCGTTGTCTAGTGGTAAAGACAGTGGTCTCCTAAGTGGTAAGTCGATGGTTCGATTCTGACCATAACCTTTTTTTCATTATGAACTTCGTGAAAAAGATAAAGTAGATTAAATAATCATAGCCCTTCTGCACATGATCTTATAGTCTAGTGATGAACACATTGGTCTCCCAAGTGGTATGTCGATGGTTCAAATCTTACCATTATCGTTTTTTCATTATGAACTTCGTGAAAAAGATAAAGTAAATTAAATAATCGTAGCCGCTAAGCATATGATCTCGTAGTCTAGTGGAAAAGACAATGGTCTCCCAAGTGGTAAATCCGTAGTTCGAATTTTACCATAACCGTTTTTTCATTATGAACTTCTTGAAAAGGTTACAATAAATAAAAAATCATAGCCGTTCAGCACATAATCTTGTAGTCCAGTGGAGGAGACAAGGGCTCCCTAGTGGTAAATCGATGGTTCAAATCTTACCATACCCGTTTTTTC